GGTGAAGTCGATAATTACTGTCGAAGGGGGAGCTGGTGACGATGATGGTGACAAGGCTGAGATGATTGGATCACTGTTGACAACAATGAAAATAGCAACAACAATGATGATGATGATGATGATGATGATGATGACAGCTATCATCATGATGAGGAGGAGGAGGTGGTGTGGAGGGTGAAGTCGATAATTACTGTCGAAGGGGGAGCTGGTGGTGATGGAGGGTGGTCCGAATGAAGAAAGGCATCATCACAATGCACAGGCAGCCTATTCTTGTGGCTGCACTACCGTCTTCACCCGAATAGAACGCCCGGTCATTATCGCTGAATCTGGACTGAAAGTTGTGCCAAATTCAGCTTTAATGACTGGGCGTTCTATTCGGGTGAAGACGGTAGTTACTTGCTGTACCACATAGTCAATGGCAAATCTTCTCACTATCAGATAGTTTGACCGTTACCTCAGATAGTCAACGACTATTCTTCTCAGTATCAGATAGCTTTGACCATAGCCGCAGATAGTCAATGGCTGTTCTTCTCAGTATCAGATAGTTTGACCATTACCTCAGATAGCCAATGGCTATTCCTCTCACTGTTAGATATTTTGACCATTACCTCAGATTGTCAATGGCTATTCTTCTCACTCTGATAGTTTGACCATGGCCTCAAATAGTCCATGACTATCCTTTTATGGTTTCACCTCAACGGATCTATCAAGGTAGTGTCTCCTAGCAAGTGGCTCTATCAATACCTATTCTTCTGACCCCATAGTGAGTGGCTCCTGGCTCCATTAGATAGTCTTACTATTGCCTCTTCCTATTGGCAGAGTGGCTGCTGGCTCCATCTGATAGTCTTACTATTGCCTCTTCCTACTGGCAGAGTGGCTGCTGGCTCCATTAGACAAGTCTTACTATTGCCTCTTCCTATTGGCAGCCTATTTATATGCCCCTCCGAAGTCATTGTTCTATCAGATAGTCACTGACTATTGCCGCCTCCTATACGCAGCCTATTTTCGTTGCCATCTAGTTCATGGCTGCTGGTTCTATCACATAATCGGACCCTCCGTGCCAATTGTTCGATCAGATCGTCTCTGATCATTGCCGCCCCCTATATGCCACCTATTCTTGTGATGCTCTATAGTGAGTTGTTGTATCAGATAGTCTCTGACTCTTGCCTCCTCCCTACAGGCAGCCTATTTTTCTGAGTGTCTAACTATTGCCTCCTCCGTATAGATGGCCTATTTTTGTGTCATCTAGTCGATGCCCGCTGCCTCTGTCAGATAGTCTGACGATTTTCAATGGCCTCTGGCTCTGTCAGATAGTCTGACTATTGCCTCCTAGATGCACGCACAACCTTTTCTTGTGGCCCTCTGAAGTGACTATTGTTGTTCTATTGGATTTTTTGAATCACATGATGGTATGATACTGAACATCATCCACAATTCCGAATGTTAAGCTTGCCCAAGCAGGTAATCCAGGTCACAAGGTGGTTGGTCAGTATGACATCTGGGGATTATGTCCACCTGTACTTGCAACCTCGATTGCCTCGTTCGGCATGATCAACACTCAAGAGTAATTAGGTATGAGCCGTTGGCAATCAACCATATATCCAGGTGTTACATGCTGCGCCTGCAACAGGCTGCACGGGCCATTTTCAGGCCCGTGTCGTTTTCAGCCCGAAAGCCTGAAAACGAGGGCCTACAGGCCCTGTGTCGTTTTCAGCCTGAAAGTCTGAAAACAAGGGCCTACAGGCCCTGTGTCGTTTCAGCCTGAAAGCCTGAAAACAAGGGCCTGCAGGCCCTGTGTTGTTTCAGCCTAAAACAGGGCCTTTCCGGCCCTGAGTCTTTTCAGCCTGAAACGGAGGGCCATTTTCAGGCCCTCATAAGATTGACCTGCCCTGAAACTCAGGCACCAGACCAGGGTTTTAGCTCAAGCCATTTTTGGCCTATTTTCAAGACAATCGGGCCGTCGGGCCGTCCCGCCTGTCTGTCTGTCCGCCTGTCTGTCTGTCCGCCTGTCTGTCTGTCCGTCTGTCTGTCTGTCTGCCTGCCTGTCTGTCTGCCTGCCTGTCTGCCTGCCTGCCTGCCTGTCTGTCTGTCTGTCTGTCTGTCTGTATGTCTGTCTGTCTGTCGGGCGGTCCGTCAGTCCGTCGGTCCGTCCGTTGGTCTGTCTGTCGGTCTGTCGTCTGTCTATCTGTCCGACTGTCTGACTCTGTCTGTCCTGTCTGTCTGTCCGTCCGTCTGTCTGCCTGTCTGCCTGTCTG